AGAGAGAGAGAGAGAGAGAGAGAGAGAGAGTGANAGGAGGAGAGAGAAAGGTCTGAATTTAAGGTGAAGAGAATGAGGGAAGGACCCCTCCTTATATAGGACTTAATGCCCCTAGGGTATTCCAACTTGAATTAGGATTCAAGTTGATGGTTGAGCTTAAGAGTACCAGGTAATCTGTGAAGTGAGAGAGAAAGCAAATCAGAGTCATTCATACCTAAAACTAGCCATCATGATATAGGAAGGAATCTAGGAACCGTCTCCCTTGAATCTTTGATCTATATCCACTCCTAGTTAGACTAGAAGTAGATCTTCCATAGTCCCATAAAAATTGGACTCTTTGCTCAATAAAAATAACTTCAATTAACTTTAGAAGTCGAACTCAACAACAAAGATCCAATTCGAAGTCAAAAGAATATTTTCCAGCGACCAAACTCTTCTTTCAAGATTTCCTCAAGATTTTTCTAACAATAAAATATGTTAGATTTAGTGGGGCATCCCACTTATGTGAGGCATGTTAGCCATGTGGGCCCCCCCAAGCCCCAAGTCGAGGCATGTTAGCCATGTGGGCCCCCCCAGGCCCCAAGTTGGTCCCACCTTGCCCCTACTAATATCTAAGCTATCATCATTGCCCTGTACAGGGTTTAAAGTAATAAACTCATTTATAAAAATTCTAAAAAATAATTAAAAATCACAGAAGCATAAATAAAGACGAAAACAATACTCATGAAGTTTTTGAAAATCCCAGAACACTCGAAGATACCTCTAGAAGTGGATTTGTACGAATGGGTCAAGAAAAGTGATAGTCAAGGCACTCCACCCGTGCTAAAAACTATGATCCATGACAATCTTCAGAAACCAACCTAACAGGATCCATGACCCACAATCATATGTAGGGGCTCATGATTGGTTAGTGAAAACCGGACAAAAAAAATGGAACTACAATCTCTAGTATATGGACAATAGCCCCCCCTCCCCCCCCCTCGCCAAAAAAGGAAAAAAATGAGAAAGTGCAAGTCATATACACATATCACTGTAGTGCAAGCCTACAACCACATGCGGGAGACCACAAAGCTCTCCTGGCCTACATCCATCGTCCCTAGGTACCTCTCCTACCTTAATAAGGGATGACCCTTTAAGAAACCCTCAACAATAATACCTATGCCCCGGAAAGGTTCTAGACTTGACTGGGGCCATAGAAACCCAACCATAGCTCAATCAACCGACATACACTCTCCTTGAAGTGCGCAATTCACTATATTTATTACATGCTCTCACAGGCCGGACTTTAAAGGCCTTAAACCCCAAGAAAGTCATCAGCCTAACATATATATATTCTAAAGTTCAATAACAAATGCGAGAGAAAAATATTGTATATGTGCGTGTGAATCAAGATCCATATGTCATTAAGAGGGTTTTTTCCATAAGTAAGAGAATCAAGAGACCGATCATAGATCCCGAGCACCATCGGAAGGAAGAGACTCGATGTCGGGTGTACCAAGCCCGGTTGAGGTAATCTCCAGCAATTTTACTTCTTTAAATTTTACTTTTTGTTGATCTCTTATATTCTCATAAAGCAATGAGTTAAGGTTTTGATTTAAGGAGTTATATTCAATAGTGGTAGCAAGTGAGAACCACATTATTGGACATTGTGAGTGATCTTGCCGGTGTAAGAATAAGAAAAAATTCAATTTGTATACATCGTGCTTGATCACATAGTCCAACTTTCAGTTCTGTGATATAGGCTCGGGATTCATAAAAAAATGTTGGCTGCCCTATCTAACAAAACTCCCCTCCTTCAAATCTTAGAGTTTTTAGTGAAACTTGAGGCTGTGTGTTCCTAGAGCCGTCCTCTACAATTCTAGGAAGCCAAAATATGAAGAATCCGATGAAATGGCGGTCGAATGAGCAAGAACCACGAAATACATATGCAAATGGAGTTTTCCTTATTTTTGGAATAAACTCCACAACAGACCCACAACTCCTTCAAATCTTGGAGTTTTTGGGTGAAATTTGGTGCAAATAGTTCCATGATCAATACCCTTTCCCGGTCTCTGATCGACCAAAAATCAGCAAGAGAATAAACAAATAAAGGCTTAAGGTGATGGGTATGAGTGAACACAAGCTTTCCAAGGGTATGGGTTGATAGTTTCCTCAATTTGACCCTAACAAAAGTAGCCTTTTGCAAAGTGACAGAACAAAAGGTTCATTTCCACCCATGTATCAATCACAAAGTTAATTTTCCATCCTAGTTTCAAACTTCATCTATAACTAACCCAACCCGAATTCATCTTGATCATTTGTTAGGTTCAAGGTATAGAGAATTCTAGAGAGAAGGCCTCCTAGAGAGAGAAACCCTAACCTAGGAGGTAGAGAGAGACTCCCTTAGAGAGAGCAAACTTCAAAGAGAAACTACTTTAGAGAAAGAAACCCTAACTTTATCTCTAGGCTTCCATGATCTAGTGAGAGAAACTCCAACCCCATCTAAGCCCTAGCATGTCATACCTCAAACGGGACCAATGCCAGTAGGAGAGAGGGCCGGACCATTGGGACATTCGCAAGTATGTTACAAGCTAGACAGTCTAAGAGGATCTTCCTAACCGGATCCAATAAATTCGGAACCCACCAAATTAGTATGCATTTGTTTGCTTAATTGAAAAGTTGTGTTTTTTATTTTCTTGTGTGCTTGCTTTATTTTTGGAGTCACATACATTGTCATGTGTGCACACAAGAAAATCTGCACACAGCCACATTTAAGATAAAGAAGGACGATCTTGGCACTTAAAGAGAAGGCTAGGGTTTCAATTAAAGGTTGGAAAGAGATAAGATTGCAAGTTAGGAAGGAGAATATAGAAAAGAGAGAAATTTGAGGTATGAAGAAAAATAAAAAGGAGTCTAATATAAAAGAGGTTGGGATGAAGAGAGAGTTAGGTATTTTCAGATCTGATATGAGAGTAGGATTTTTTTTTTTATCCTTTTGTAAATTAGGGGAGATTGAAATTAGGATTTTTAAATAAAGTTTGAGATGAGGAGTAAACCAGAATCAAGAAAGAAGAATATAGTTGAGAATTGATAAGAAATATTAGGATTTGAGAAGAGAGAATGTTTTAGAAGAGAAGAATTATGGTTTGAATTTTGAATAGAAAGGAAGAAGATGGAATTGGGGTTTGATTTGACCTTTCAATCTTAGTTTCTTAGATCAATCTTTAACCTCAAGCTTTGATACCATGAAAATAATCAATCATAAAGAAGAAAGAAAAGCTGATCTAAGGGAAAGTTGATATAAGAGAATGGGTGAGTAGGATGTCCCAAAACTAGTTCCTGGGTTCATATATAAATCAATTACTATATAAGTCAAATTGCCTATGACAACATCAACAACTACATCAGAATATATTCACATGTTTGCCCTTGTAAACCCATAGAAATCCTTAATAGGCATGATGGCCTATCACCTAACGTGGTGTGCCACAATAGTTTTCAAACCAAGGAAAGGCTACATTTCAATTGGCATCCAGAACCAATAGGCATCCGAATAATACAGGCACAACAGCCTATGTTTGATTTCATCAACTATGAGAAATATACAAGAAATAGAAGACATAGAAGAGCATCGGATGTAGAGATTCATCCTACAAGTTTCATGTTCCTCATGTTGGATTCATGGGGAAGAGATTTCATAGTGCTATTCTTCATCCTCATGGCATGCTCAGTGTTACAGGATGACTTGAATGCTGTGCTCTAAAACATGGCTCAGGCAAGGTACTAGGTACCTTGCAGAGCCCAAGTGACAAGTTGAGTCCGAGTGGACTCGACTGAGTCCAGCCCAAGCCATATTGCTAAAAAAATGTTAAAACCAAACTCCAGAAAAGTTATACAAAATAAGAAAACATAGAAAACATGCAAGGAACAAAAATTGATTTTATGAATTTAAATAAATCAAATTTATGAATTTAAATTGGAAAAAAAAAAGAAAGAAAGGGAAAATTTTTTGAGGCCGATCCCCAATCGTCGCACTCTGTGTGAATCGATGCCTTAATCCATGCCAAAGCTTCCATACACACCTCCGTTGGAAACTCCAAACCTTTTGGAACTGGGAGATCCAAGCGCTTGAAACATTCAGATTAATAGTAAATCCAAATCTGAAATCCTTCAAATCTTAACTTTTTTCTCATTTTTTAATAAGAAACAAGTGTATGGTTCAATGAAGAACCCAAGAATGGACTTTGGGATCAAATTTCATCAACGATTGACCAAAAATTACAGAAATCATAACTTCTTGAAATTGGGCAAATCTTTCTAAAATCTATCAAATCTGGTAATTTTCTCAAATCTAAGATTTATTATCGATAGAGCAGGGCCAAATCATGCTAGAGGCTACATTGTTGGCTCAAAGCACACGGCTGTGCCTACAGCCTTCAATTGACAAAATTGAAGAAGAAAGGGTGGTTGATTTCTGCACCTCTTTTAGAGTAAGAAATGCACAGTAGTCAAGGGAGTACTATAACAACTTGCCTGTGTACTGTACAATCTTGGCCGAGTCAGCTCGAATTCGTACAGTACTAGTGGGAGTCTGTATGGTACTCACCCGAGTACTGAAGAAGATACATATCTGTACCCCTATTCCAGTCTCTGCAAGTGTGCTGTGCCCGGGTAACTCACCCAAGTCCAAATCGACTTGGGCAAGTTTTGAACATTGCTTCAAGGTAAATGTAGCTTTCCATTGAGAAATTCCAGCATCTTTGTGGGAATTACTAATTTGCATCAAAGATCCCAGTTATTGGTGTCATAAACACACCAAGAGAAGTAAGTGAAGTTTCTGATTAGCTTATATTGTTACAAATCAGGAAGGATTGGGAGCATAGGATTTCATGCACATTATCTTTGTTGTTCATGTTTTCATGAAATGGTTTTCCTGTTCAATGGTTTGTGCAATCAGTAATCTGGAAAATTCTGACGGTGATGACAATATATTCACAACAGGTTTACTATGAAAAGAACAATTGCAATCCTAGAGGTTAACCACATGACAACAGCTACACAACGAGCAAACAATTGATATGCTTGTAGTCGTAAAAGTGTTGATGAAAAGAAAAAGGTAAATCTATGACAAAAAAAATGCAACATATGTCCATGAAGTCCTGCAAATTAAAGACAACTAAAGGAATATTACAAACTTCACATCTAAATGGAGCTCAGAAACCAGTTAATGAGAACCATAGGCAATAAAGAGGAACTAGAAAGTAGATACATAAGCAAACATCAAAGAACTAGTAAAAATACTAATCAGCAAAGAAATAGTAATCATGGAGAATTCATCGAACTGCTACAGTGCTACTTGATGTATATATAGCAGAGTGAAGCAAACGTCTCCAGAGACTGCGAGACCTAAAGAAACCAGTCTCATGCAAATAAAATTTGAAGCATGTAAGGAAATAAACTAAAGAAAGTTTATACCTTGGCCCGCTGTCTCAAAGATGAATCAACTGTCGCATCCACTTTACTACCAACTTTCACAGTTCCATCCTTAATAACACCTTTATGGATAAAGACATTCCCGGGAGACTTTTGAACATCTTTGATCTCCACAGTACCTTTTCCTCTGTCGTCCTCGCTGACTGGTACATACAGAAAGCCATGGTCCGCTACTTGACCACCTGATTCAGCATAAAATGGCGTCCTGTCAAGGAGGATGTCCACTTCATTTCCTTCAGAAACCTCTACTACTGGATTACCATTAAGCATAAGGCCTTCAACAGTTGCCAAGGCATGCAGTGTTTCATACCCTAAAAATTCAGTATGTTGGATGCCTTTGCTGTCATCTGCTACAATATTTCCAACAGAAAGTTTAACAACGTTGTGAGCAGCCTGAGACTGACGCCTCTGGTTTTCCATTTCAAGTTCAAAACCTTCCATATCAATACTCACTCCACATTCTTCAGCAGCCTCAGCAGTTATTTCTACAGGAAAACCATATGTATCATATAAGAGAAATAAATCCTTTCCTGATAAACAAGCCCTGCGGTTTCCGTTCTCATTGGCACTGCTTAAAGCAATTCTTAGCAGCTGATCTAGAAGCTTTTCTCCTCTCTCCAGCGTCTGCACAAAACGTTGTTCTTCCCTTACGATTTCCTCAAGAATACAAGTCGATCTTTCCGATACATAAGGATCTATATCAGTGGCTAATTGAATGGCAATCTCTGCAATTACAGGCAGAAAAGCACCTTCCATGTTTCCCTTCCCATCACCTCTAATACCAAGTAATCTACCGGTTCGAACAGCTCTTCTGATGAGCCTTCTAACTACATAACCTCTACCAATATTTGAAGGAAGAACTCCATCTGAGATGAGGAAAACCACTGCACGCATATGGTCTCCGATAACCTGAAAAAATTGAGTTAAGCATGAAAAATAGTGCCAGATTTAACTAGGTGATCCACGTATCCAGTAATTACTTAAGGAAGACAAAGAAAGACATCACACTTTAAGATGGCTCTTGGTACGATCATCAGACTCCATATATGAGATATTTGCCAACTCTGAGGCCCTCTCTATGATTGGATAGATCAAGTCAGTCTCGTAGTTGTTTGGCACCTGCATTGTACAAGCACAGATTAAACAAATATCTAAATTGCTTACTTACTGAAAAGAATGAAGTAGAACTAACAGTAAACTGTTTTAGTTTTAATTAGTACAGTTTGTGCAAGACACACCTGAAACCAACTGTTTAGCGAGGGCATGAGAGAGAGAGAAACAACACACACACACATACAAACAGAGAGAGAACAGAGAGAAGGGAGGGGCCCAATTAGTGAAAGTTATCCCTTTTCCAGTTGCTTGTATACGTAAAACTTGGGTTCAGGGGCCTACCTGCCTAAGCAGGCACCACAGTCTTGAGGCCTCCAGCCTTAAAAATATACATATAACATATGCGTACATAGATAAATCTATCAATACCCTCATTTGTATATTGATCACAATAATTATAACTAACAATCATATTTATTTAGGCGACAACCATATTTCCAACCTGGACCCCACTCCTACAAGAATCGGAACACGATATCTCGAAATATATCACGTTCAAACAAATTAATAAAAATGACTAGACTTTGAAGCCTAATATGTTACCGAAAATTTATAGAAACATCTCCCTTGATTTCTGGGTTAGATAGCTAGACCTTTCTATATTTTGAAAGAATCTCCAATTTGAAATTTAAGTTAACTTTCTCCAAAAAAAAAAACAAAAACAAAAAAATCTCCAATTTGGAACTTAACATAGGGAAGCCTCCTTCATGTATTCCCCAATCTCATCAATTTAGGGTCAAATATTGTTCCAAACTGATGCGATCATTCTAGGACAAACCCTTGTTGCCTTTGGAATAAAAAACAAATCCCGAAATTTTGCAGCGAGCCTGCAAACCAAGTTATAGGGCTCGCGTGAACTTTTGAAATTCATTTAAATCCTTAATCAGATCTTATCTAACTTGTTCCATAGCCTCACAAGGACTACCAAAGCATGATCACGAGGTTGCACTTCTCTTATCATCTAACCCTTCTTCAATAGTTTGCCATGAGACCACACTCTCGCAACATTTGGCTCACGGTGAAGCTTATAAAAGGTGATAAAAAATCCCTCGCCACACCCAAATAACCCTCAACTTGATGGGGGCTAGCACTAGTGCAGTACTCACCATACGGGTGGCAATGGACTTAGACTTGACCCGGGACCCGAGGGGTAGACCTGATCCGGGTCTAGGTATGGGTCTAAAAATTGGACCCGGACGGTCAGGTCCGGGTCCAAATCTTGGACCCAAACACTATTCGGGTCTAATTCTGGGTCTGGTAACATTTTTCGGGTCCCAATTTATGAAAAATATTTAAATATAGTTAATACATAGATATTTTCATTTTTGGGTTAGGTCTGGGTCCAGATCTGGTGAGTTCAAGTCCATGTCCCATAATATTTTTTCAGGTCCGGACCCGAACTGTTGCCACCCCTAACTCACCAAATAACCCTCAACTTGATTGGGGCTAGAACTAGAGCAGTACTTGCCACAGCAACTGTTGCAGCTTGGGTGAGATATTGACAGACTCGGGAAAACTTGCCAAAATTCACACCACCCCCCCTTCTATTTCTCCCTCATTTGAGCTTAGATCTCTCTGAAACTTCATGCCTATGTTTCCATCCTTTATCAGTTTCAAACATCCGATTCAACTCAAAAATAAAATTAGAAAATACAAAATCTCAAATTTTTGAATTTTTATTCAAACTAAGGTTTGGCCAAAATTGTTTTCTTATGTTATTTCACAACCCTAGCGCTATCACAACCCGAAAAGTCCTCCATACACCTATCTTTGTGTTATCACCATTAAAAAAAGAAGAACAAAAAAACTCAAACTCTGTGTGAATATCAAAATAGGGTATAACCAGAATTTTCAAGAGTTCGATCAATCAGACATGACTAACATCATAGGTTTCCTAAATTTTTACTGTTATCCTATTTGTTTATTTTTATTTTTTTTTCCTGAATTTTCACCGACTTTTGGGGATGGGGATTTCTTAATATTTTTAAGGGCATTGGTCAAAACTCGGCAAGTCCAGTACGGACTCTCCGAGCTGACTCGCTGCAGGCACTACTTCAATCCTGTAATGAGTGAGGGTTTTAAAACACTATTCAACAAAGAAGATTCAGAGAAGAGAAGAGAACAAAGAGAGAGAACGAGAGAGCAAGAGAGAGAGAGAGAGAGCAAAGGACAGCTTTCATTATGACACTTTATCAGTGGACCAATTTTAAAGCTTGCAAATACCAGTAGGAATTGCTGGAAATTACCCATAGCAACTCAGAATCTCGCTTCCAAGGCCTATCAATGAACATTATTCTGGTCACTAAGATTCACCTCATGGCTAACCAATATCAAAAGCCATTATTTAAGTGTGCATGGAAAACAAAGTACAGATGATATGAATGGATAAAAAGTAACCAATTTCCGAAGAGAACATTATGATCTAAAAAAGTCATGCCATTTTGTAAGGAGCTACGAAGTCATTGAAGAATGCTACCTTTTGAAGAATCCGAGCCATTCTTTCTAAACCCAAGCCAGTATCTATGTTCTTTTGTAGCAAGGGTTCAAGGGTTCCAGCCTCGGTCTTGTTAAACTCCATGAAGACAAGATTATAGAACTCTATGAACCTGCTATCATCTCCCAAATCCTGTGAATATGTGAAAGTTATATCTGCATGGAGAATACCGAACAATAGCATGCCTTGTGTGAACGAGAATACTATCTATTGAACCCAAAAGAAAAAGATACGATGCTATAGTCAACTTAAATTCTCCATACTGCATTTGCATATCCTCTCTCCGGATAGAAATCATAGTAGATCTCAGAACATGGGCCACACGGACCAGTAGGACCACTCGTCCAGAAATTATCGTCTTCTCCCATCCTTTTTATCCGTTCCTTGGGAACACCAACCTGAAAAATATCCATAATACTACAGTAAAATATTTGCATATGCATATTAACAAAAAGATTTATATTGATATGAATACATAGGAAGAATCATTAACAATACAAGGTAGATTCCGTACAGAATTTCACCAATGCTACAAATTTCAATGGTGCTATCATTTTGATCAAATGTAAGCATTTGTTGAAGCAAGCAAAGTATCACTCCTAAAACATATTAATTGAAGGATTTAGAAATACCTAAGTGGTGTCAGAGAATGAAGTAGGGAGAATCAAACGGGAAAACAGCCAAACAAGAAGAAATGATCAGAGAACAACTCCAGTTGGCTTACAATGTGGTTGTTTGATGACATTCAACCACTCCAGAGCAACGTTCATCCGAACAATATTCGCCTGCTCAACCACAAATTACACATGGAAGATCTGAATGGCCTTGGTTTTGAGCTCTTAGCCTCAGACCCATGTTTCAAGTTTAAAAGTCCTTTTTTCACCAACAAAATAAGTGCACATGAGTAATCAGAAGCTGTGATGAGCAGAATTTTTCTTCTTCCACATGAAGAACCACATAAGGAATTAAACATCATCATCATTTTAGCCTTTTCCTAATTAATTGGGGTCGACTACATGAATCATAGTTCTCCATTCTACTCTATTAAAGGTCATATCCTCAGTGAGGCCATAAGTCCCAATATCTTTTCGGATTACTTCCAACGACATCCTTTTGAGTCTATCCTTTGCCTTTTTCAGTCCTTCCACTTGAACTAACTAGCACCTCTTAACAGGTGTTGTACTTAGTCGGCACCACACATGGCCAGCCCACCTAAGTCTACTCTCTCTCATTTTATTGCCTATTGGTGCCACTCCTAAACATAAAGAATTAAACAATGTCACCAAATGTTCCCAGAATCTACTGCAGAGGGAGATCGAGATGGGGGACGGACTACATGGCCCAAGGGAAGAGAGAGAGAAATGGGGGGAGAGAGAGAAATGAGAGAGAGGGGGGAGAGAGAGGTGTGAGAGAAAGGGGGAGGGGCAGGCCCAAGGGAGAGGGAAAGAGAGGAGAGAGAGAGAATATCGAATGGATTGGGTGGGGAACAGATTGAGAAACATGTTGCTCATGTAGTATATTTGCTGGCCACGTGCCCCCGTATCCCCTCCTTCTCCATCCACGTACACTCCCATTTCTTTTATTTTTCCACATATTTATCTTCACTAGTTTCTCTCACCTCAAAGGGGTTTTTAAAGCTTAAATGTACTTTAGTGAAAGAGGTAGAGGAGATAGAAGAGAGAGAGGAGAGAGAGGGGTATGGGATGTGCGAAAGATGGACTACTAGAGGCCATATCCCTTCACACATGGTGAGGGTGCCTAACAGAGAGAAGAACGAGAGAGAGAGAGAGAGGGAGGCCTAAATATTTCTTTTTTAATGCGCCTTTGTTTTGAAGGGATGGCAGGCACTATGCGGCGCCTTGGGTAACCCCAACTAGGACCCACCGCCTAGGCGGCCAGGTAGATGCCTTTTCGAACACTAGTCGTCAAACATTAAAACTGCATCAAAAAGGCAACCATGAGTGAATAGAAGCCAACACTAGAGAGAATGAGTCCTCTGCACCCTCTGCATTCATAAGAAGGGTAGCAAGGTAGCTGGCAATCTGTGAAGAGGCCAACATGCCATAACCTAGAAATGATACAGGGTTGTTTTGTTTTATGAACGTTGACATTTGTATTGCTATAGAGAGAAGAAGTACAAAATTGTGTTTATCCGAGAGTTCCCTATAGGCGGGATTCTCGGTAATTAGGTAAGCAGACCCTGTACAAAAAATTGGGTTATAAGATTACCTCTTTACAAAATTTTACCAGCAAATGCCAAAGATAGGGCTTATAAAATGGGGCTTATAAAAATGCCCATACACAGTGAGATTTACAGTGCGATATGCACGAAAAGGGACCCAAAAACTTTTAGGTTGGGGTCCACTGGTCCAGTGCAAAAAAGAATGTGGACCCGGTTTGAGCAACCTGACCCCGACTTCTAAAGCCCTCCTTCGCCAGCCGATTTACGATATCGTTGGATGTCCACCAAGTATGCTGCCATGGGACGTTCATAACCCTACAAATGTGGTGAACCTCGTCAAAAACTGGGATCAAATGCCATGGTGGATCACTCGTTTGACTAGCCCAAGAGATGACATTTTTCGAGTCACCTTCAACTATTAGACTTGGGCCCCAAGAAGGGTTGAGCTTTTTCAAAGCTAGAAGGAGGGCTAAGGCTTCCGCATGGTGAGAGTCCTTGAGGCCAAGGTATTCGGAGATAGTTAGGAGTATATTGCCTTCATGGTCTCAAAAAACTCCTCCTGCCCCTGTTGGACCAGGGTTCCCCAAGGAACATCCATCGAAATTTAATTTGATGCTGCCTTGAGTTGGTGGTAGCCAGTTGCTTGGCCTTTTTACCCCTTGTGGTTGATAATGAAGGATGTTTGCCCATTGTGAGAGGAAGAGCGTCCTTGGAATTCCCGCAAAGAAGTTATGGTTGGAGGCCCAGAAGGTAAGCGTCGCGGTTTGAAGTTTAGAGCCTCGAAAAATTCTTGAGTTTCTTTCCAGCCACACTATCCATATAGTAGCAGCTATAATCACCTTCCACAGGATTCTTCCTGCCTTAGGCCAGCTTGAGTCAACATTGTGGGTTAGAAGGGCTTTTACTGGGGGGGGGGGGGGAGGTAACCCATTCTATGCCAAATAGTTGTAATACCCTGCCCCACACGTCAAAGGAGAAGTCACACAATAAGAACAAATGAAGGTTTGTTTCCTCCTCACATTCACAAAGAACACACCTATTAGGGATGGGGACCCCTCTTTTTTGTAGATGATCAACTATGAGGACCTTTTGTGAAAAGGCAAGCTAGTTGACGGTCTGCACTTTTGGTGGAGCAATAGTAGACCAAATTCTAGAAAAGGGATCATGAGTGGTGGGTAAGGAGATGAGACTTTTATAGAAAGAAACAACTGAGAACTTACCCGAGGGAGTTAGTTTCCAGATAATGTCATCTCTTCCAAGGGAAAGGAAAAAGAGGGGGTGGAGGGTATTCAAGAGCCGCTGGAAATCAGCGGTTTCCTCTTCGGTTAGGTTCCTTCGAAATGAAGGATTCCAAACTCTACGACCTCCTAAGAGGCTTAAATCCTGGGCAATTGACGAATCCTGGTCTCAAACAAGAGAGAAAAGGGATGGAAAGACCTCACGGAGAGGGGAGGGTCCTACCATAAGTCTTGCCAAAATCTTACTCTCAAGCCTTCTCTTGGATGGAATCTAATGTGCGTCTTGAAGGTGGCCAGGACTGTTAAAAGGGACTTCCAGGCTCCTGACACATTATGGCCTTGAATTCTTCGGGGCAGCCAGGTATATGTGGGGATTCTATACTTGTGCTTTACAACCTGTGCCCAAAGGGCATTTGGCTGAGTAGCTAATCGCCACCACCATTTCCCTAGCAAAGCAGCATTGTGTTTGCGAAGAACTTTTATACCCCTAAGCCTCCCTTCTCTTTTGGTTGGCAGACCTTATCCCAGGCCACAAGATGGCCATTTTTCTTCTCATCCTGCCCAGATCAAAGGACATTCCTCATGAGTTGATTAAGTCGATTTGCCACCTGAGCTGGCATATGGAAGAGAGACATGAGGTAGATTGGGGAGTTTGCTATGGTAGCGTTAATCAAGGTAGTTCTTCCTACCATAGAAAGAAATCTACCCTTCCATCCTGCCAGGCGTCGGTCAACCTTGTTAAGGACAGAGGACCATTGCTGCTTTCTGAGTTTTCCCAATCCCAGGGGCAAGCCAAGATAGGAAGTTGGGAGATCCTGGATTTTACATTCCCAATCTGAAATGAGTATTCTAATTTCACCAGGTGACAAGGAAACCCCCAACATACTTGATTTTTCTATGTTGATCTTGAACCCTATTGCAGATTGGAAGCAAGAGAGTAATCTTTTGAGGGTTTTGACTTCAGTATGGGTGGCATTCAGGAAAACCAAGGTGTCATCCGCGTACTGTAAGTGAGAAATTATGGGTCCATGCCTACTGGTTATGAATCCTGAAAGAAGGCCTGCTTGGTAGACCCGAGAGATGGATCGACTAAAAACTTCGGCCGCTATTGCGAAGACGAAGGGTGAAAGTGGGTCTCCTTGCATGAGACCCCTCGAGGAAGGGAAGTAGCCAACTGGGGTACCGTTGAAGATTATAGAGAAATGAGGGTTGGAATAGCAACCACTCATCCACTTCCTCCATCTCTACCCAAAGCCCATTTTGGCCATAGACATTCAGGACTGACCAGTCCGCATGGTCGTATGCCTTTTCCCAGTCTATTTTGAAGATAAGCCCTGGTTTCTTGGTGAGATGTCTCGAGTGGACACATTCATGGGCCACTAAAGCACCATCAAGTATTTGTCTACCTTTGAGAAAGGCTGATTGGGAAGGAGAAATGATAGAAGGCAGGACTCGTTGCAGCCTAGAAGCTAGGACTTTTGCCAAAATCTTGTAGGAGTTGAGGAGGCTAATAGGCCGAAAGTCTTTGATTTCCTCTACTCCTTCTATTTTTAGGGACAGGGGCGAGGAAGGTAGCATTCATAGCTTTGTTTAGAATATCCCTATGGAAGAATTCCTCGAAAAATTTCACAAAGTCTGGGCGGACAATATCCCAAAACTCCTTAAAGGGGGCAACAGGGAATCCATCCGGCCCAGGGGCCTTGCCACTTGCTAATGCTTTAATGGCTTTAAAGATCTCCCATTCAGAGAAAAGCCGTTCTAGCCAAGCAACTTGAACTTCATCGAGAGTCAGGAAGTCTAGGGTCGAGAATGTGGGTCTAGGGTCAGGGGGAGTAGAGTATAAGTTCTGAAAGAATTTTAATAAAGCTTGTTGAATGTCACCTGGTTGGTTGAGATAGGAGTTGTTGACTTGTAACATCGAGATAGTGTTGTCTCTTCTACGACAATTGGCCATCCGGTGAAAAAAACCAGTGTTGTGGTCCCCTGCTTTCAACCAAGAAACCCTCGATCTCTGGAACCAGTAGATCTCTTCTTTCTTTAAAGTAGAGAGATACTCCAGTTTGGTCTTGGACCTAAGTTCCTATTCAGAAGCATTTAAAGATCTCGTTTTTTTAATAATATGAAGGTTCTTGATGGTTTCCAGTCGGGTAGACTTTAAGTGCGAGAAATTCCCAGGAATGGTTCTACTCCAGGATTTGAAAGCGTATTTGAGAAGCTGGATTTTCTATTGAAGGATAAAGCCTGCTCTCCCCATAACATGAGAATTAAAGGAATTCCACCGGGTTTGGACTAGGGCAGGTAGGTCCTTCTCTTAGAGCCAATGCAGTTCAAATCTTAAAGGCCGAGGACCCCTGGTAATGGCATTCGCATCGAGCAGAATTGGACAGTGGTCCGACGTAGGTTTGGGTAGGGCCATTGAGAGAGATCTAGGGAATTGTTCATCCCTTTGATAGAAATAAGGAATCTATCAAGTGTTAAGAGGGTGGGGTTGGTGTTGTGGTTGGACCAGGTATATTGGCATCCTTGGAGAGGGACGTCAATCAGCTCGTTGCAACTGATAAAATTTGAGAAGTTCCTCATGTCCGAGGAAACTGAGGACAAGGAATTCCTCTCATGGGACCATCGAACAATATTAAAATCACCCCCCACACACCAAATGGGGTGTGGAAGGGAAGCAATATAGTCCAATTCAGCCCAAAGTCTATGTCTGATGGTGTGGGAATTTGGCCCATAGACTGTAGAGAATTTCCATGGGACACCATCCGAGATATTGGAGAGGAGAAGAGTGATGGAAAATTCCCCTATAAAGTGGGAGTTAAGTGAGAGGTCGAAAGAATCCCAGACCACCCAAATACCTCCTGAAGCCCCATATGACAGTAGAGAGACCCAATGGCATGGCCTCCTACCCCAAACCCAACAGATGAGCTTGAGGTCAAGGGTCTGGTAGTTTGGTTTCAAGGAGGGTCATGATGGTAGGGGAAAATTATAGGTGAAGGCTTTGACTGTACATTTCTTAGAGGTCTGTCCAAGCCCTCTGATGTTTCAAATGAACAACTTCATTTGTAAGAGATGAGAGTAGGGGAGGAGGCCAGTCTGGGGGACCTCCACGGGCGTCCGAGAGTGGATAGAGAGGAACCAAAATTAATGGCTTTCCTAGGGAAAGGAAGGGAAGAGAAGAGATTGCATCGCTCTCTTTGCCCTCTGAGTCTTACCTGCATTCTACTATGTGCATAAGCCGTGATGAACCTGTGTTCAGGTCCTTCAGGTCTGTCATACTCAAAGCCCATTATCCTGTACAGGGTTCTCATCATGTCTTCCTCTGAGTTAGTCCTGTCTTTAGAATGTTCTTCTGCCTCTTCGATTCCTTGGGACACGAAGGAAGTGGCTGTTTGTGCAGCAGGTGCAACTGAGGAGGAGATAGGGGGATCTACCGAAGGGTAGAGGTCACAAGGTAAGGTCGGGAGGGGTGGAGGGTTTGGACTAGGGTTGTCAGGGGTATGCATGGATGTCTCGGAGTTCCCGGTGGTAACCTCAGATCAGAGAGGATAACCAGGGGAAGGGTTGAGAGTGGAAGCTAAAGGGAGTTACTATCACGGATGGCTTCATTACGGATATCCTCATGGTCTAGAGCAACAGGAACGAGGGGGGAGGGAGAGGGAGGTAGTTCGATCGGAAGGAAGGAGATAATAGGGATGTAGGAGAGAAATTGGTGGGTCTGAACAGAAGAGTAGGCGAAGAGCAGGAGAGGGGATTCAGGGGACCAAACCAAGAGAATGGTTTGGGCCCTGTGGATGTGGACAAGGTGAGGGGTAAAGGAGAGGGGTGGGGCCAGGAAAACAACGATGGTTGCCAAATCAGGAGGGAAGGATCCAACGACTGGGCAATTACTATGCCTACAAGAAAAAAGTCTCGGTTCATCTTCTGGTGGTAAGAGGGCTTGTGACCCGAGGGAATAGGGAAGTCAAGGTTCACATGGTAGAAAAAGAGAGAGAGAGAGAGAGAGAGAGAACAGGGAGAAGGATGGGGGGCGACCAGTTGAGTGGTTGACTGGGACGAGGGTGGGCTAGGGTCAAGGTTCTGCACCAGCGTAGAGGAGGTAGAGGACAAGAGGGGGAACTTTAACCGGGGTGGTCACCGTCTCAGCTACTGGCTAAGACTCAAAGTTCTGCGATTGCAGGGTGGGATGAGGGGGGGCTAGGCCGACCGAGGAGGGGAGGACATAGGTGGCTGCTGAGAGATGTCCAATTGACGTGCCGACGAAGGGTCAGGGGAGTCAGACGATGGGAACAAGCGGGCGGGAGGAGACAGCATTGACGGGAACCTCTCGTTAGTAAGCTGGATTGTAACCTTCTGGCAGGAGCTAGGATGCTCGTGACGGTGGAGATCTTGAGGCATGTGGCAGGTGTGCAAGGTGTTAAGCGAGACGAGGGGACACGTGGAGACAGAAGGGGGAAGAGGGGCAAGGGCAGGGGCAAAGGGAAAGGCGGTGGAAATAGGGGCAAACGGGTCGGGTAAAAGAGGTTGCCCATGGGCAAGCGTGAGCGTGTGAGGGGAGAAGGGGAACGATGGGCCGAGTCTGTCACCCCAGCCCGGAGAAGGTTGAGGAGAGTTGTCCTTGACAACCTCTTTCCCTCTACGTTGGTTCAACTCGGGTTCGACACCCGGTTCTATCCTTTGACTCAGATTGGGAGGCTTCAATTCATTCCCTTGACTCGGATTCGAAGGCGAGTCTGATCCAGTTTACACTTCTGCGGTGTTCCCATTCAGAATCGAGGAGAAGGACTTTCCCTTGTCCTGGCTCTGATGCAGCAGGCAAGGGCACCAAAATTTCTGTTGCGGCTGCTCAGGGGGTCGCCGACGAGGCCGCGTTCGATTGTGTTTCTTCCTGGTCACCACCTTCCACTGTTGAGACGAGGTTTCAATTTGAGGAGCCAGGTGGAGTTGGTGTAGGAAGTTAGGAGGGGGGCAGGACGCTGAAGTCTAGGAGAATGAAACAGGTTAAAAGAAATTGTTTATGTCAAGCCACACCATTTGCGGGAACGTAGTGGTGTCCAGGACTTCCATCAAAAGGCAAATGGAGCCCAACGATAGGGACTCTAGCGAGATCCAGTGAATAGAGACCAGATTGTCATAGGCTGCAACAACTCCCTTGAAGGTCTCTGGAGACCAAGATTGAAGCGGTATGTGATGAAGGGTAAGCCAAACCCTTTGTTTCCAGAAAGAGCCTTCTTTTGGTGACCATCGTCGGAGAGAGTAAGAGGCTCCTGTGAAGGAAGGATTAGAGCTTTTGAGTAAAGCGAGGTTGGCTTCTTCCTGAGAGGAAAAGGAAAAGAGGAAGTCTCTGTTAGAGAGACATTTGCAGACTAAATTCGGCTCCTCCCAAAGGCTTCTGGCCCACCTCTCGATTCCTTTAAAATCATCTCGCACCGGGTGAAAACTATCAACTAGGGAAGCCAATAATTTTTTGGCGAGTCTCTCAGTCTCCTCTGGCAGAGTGGAGATACAGAAAGGTAAATAGGGGGAGGCCGCAGGGGAAACAGGAGGACTGGTAGTAGTCGGAGAGACCTTAGTCGGTGGGACAGGAGAGGAGGATGAGACTACTCTAGCGAAGAAAGATTTGTGGGTAGAAGCGGGTGGCGCAGGAATCTTCGAGGGGGGGCGGTGAGGGTTTTAGGGTAAAAGGCGTAGATTTCGCTCCAGGTGGAAGGGGGAGGGCAGGGGCAATAGAGCAATCTCCGAGACCTACCTTCCGCCATAGTCTATGAAAACTGAAAAATATTACTAAAGCAACAAGAACGAGGGGGGAGTTTGATATGAAAGCATCTCCTTATGTCAAGATGAAGTGAATAAGGAAGCTGAAGCTTATGTGGCTCAAACAAAGAACCCGAAATAATACAGGGTTGTTGATAGCAAGGAAACATCCTCAACTTCTAAGGAAGCAAAAATTTGCACCTAGGTGTCTGTTCGACATGATGCAGAGCTCATTTCTAGGATATCTTAAAGCTCTACAACTTCCATAGGTGTCTTTTCCTTTCAGTTTTATAATTCCTCCTCATGTTCCCCACATCAAGAAACATGAGTAGAAACTGGACATCTATCGCTGCACCTGATAACAACAGTTGATTCCAAGTTCCAACAACTCCAGTGCCCGGCAGTCTATTGCAAGAACAAAAACACAAATCACTCCCAAGCATGAGGTCAATAGGATAAAATAAACCCAGTCAGGAATTTTACGTACCTATAGCCCACACTAAAAGAACCAAAGTCGTAATTGCTTTGCATCATCCTCCAAACCAAGTAGGTCATGCAATCAATACTTCATACATTTTAAAACCAAAAAATTGTGGCCCTTTGAAATAGTGAAGTACCTATTAACCACAATGGCCGCTGAAGAAGCACCCAGCTTCCATCCTCCTCTATAACAAATATGAAGGTTCAAGGAAGAATGCAAATCAAGAACAGTTCAATGAGAGAATGAAAGCCTGTCAATTGCATTCAAATGCAACCTCCCCAAACGATATATCTTTCATTCCCTGTTCATAGTTTCTGCAAAGCTTCTCCCCACTAGTAGCTTCCTCGCTATCTAGGGCTCAAGAAACCCTAAGATTTATGGTTTACAACTACAAACAACAGCCACCATGCCGCCATGACTCATCTGGATTTGAAGACTTAAGTAATTTTGTCAAATTCCCTATCTCAGTTGATCTACTGTTTGAAAATAACATAATGAAGGAACATGATCTAAGGGAAGCTATGTACAGAAGATGCTAAGATATTCACTCGGAATCATGTCATTAAACCTACGAAACAAACAATTATCATTGAAAACAAGGAAAACAAGATCACAGTGGAAATCTAGTTGTATCATACAACATAGTCATTACGAGGAAAAAGATAAATTTTGATAGTAAAAATTTTGCCTCATCATGCCATATATTAAAGGCCTCGTCATCTTCCTTGAAGACACTAATCCATAATCTCTCCGCAGGCAACATGAACCTATAAAAAGCGAATACAATTGTCATCAAATGGGTATATATTAAGAGGAGTTTGATGATAAGTGTGATAAAATTTCTTCATAGATTTCCATTAAAAAAAAAAAAATAGTGCATAAACAAGATTTAGAAACCAGATCCAAGAATCACTACTATTCGCATGTTACCAGCAATGAAATATTGGATATATATTTGTTTGATGAATTATGGAATTGTTCTTAGTCTATTCTAATTGCAAAGATTAGATATAATTGATCCGCTGAAGGATGTAAGCACTCAAGTTATTTCCATAACACAGGTGTCACTGTTCTGATGAACCACATGTCATAATTTTCTTCTGACATTGAATAGTATAAAAGCTTGTTACAGGGGAGGCAAAAAGAAAGATAGAGGTCCAGAAAACCCAAATGCCTAACCTCTGTTTACTTGTACCATTTTTGCCAATTTATAGCTTTTCCTCCCTACAAACATGTTTGATACCAACAAAAAAATATTTGCTAGTAGAACATCAATTTTGGCAAATATGTTCCAAGTTTCCAAGGAAATGAGGAGATCAAACAGTAATAGGAAGTCTGCTGAAAACTGGCCATAAACAATTTAAGCTGAACAAGTGCTAATTTGTTTCTGCTCATGAGGAGTATACTCTTCTACCTGCCAACTGCAGTGTAACACTCCAGAATATCACTATCCTCATTGAAGTTCAACCCCCAGAACTCACAGGTGACAAATTTCTTTTTGGACATGTTAAAGCTACATGCATCATTTCTTAGTATTTTAAACTTTATTACATTTGAGTGCTGTACAAGGGTCACATGCTCACAGGTTCATTTTATGAAAAGGTTAATATTATCAAAAGTTTATACAACATAGTAGAAGAACTCAGCTTCGCAAGGCTCTAAATTTTCTGATAGTCAATATTCAGAGAATTAGGTCGCTGTTAGGGGGCCACACTCTGATTCAAGTATGATTCAAGTATCACTAATCAAATACCATAATTTTTCCCTAAGAATGTGGGTATCCAGCATTAAGACTTTTGGACCAGCATCTATGACTTGATTTGCTGATCCCATAGATCCCATGTCTTCATTGCTGCTTCGGAAGCTGTACCCCTGTCCATCATTCTTTCAACATGTCAAGCTACACCCCAGAACATAAACTTTTGTCGTGTTAAGCAACACTTGATTGTGTGAGTCATGAGTAACTAGATGGAGGGACATGATTGGCCAACGTAACACCCACTTAAGAGAATTATCTCAGAACAAATTACATTTTTGCAGGCACTTCGAGTGATAAAAATAATAGATTCAATGAAACCAACAATTCCACCAAAGTATAGTGCTTACCCAAAGGAGTTTGAGCTATAGTTACCATAATCGTCCACCCTAGGAAGCAATTCTGGTTTGAAATCGTGATTTCACATTTCTTGAGGTTTGTGGTCATTAAATGCTGTGAGCATGTAAATATCATTTATAGGGTTATACATTTCCATGAGAGTGTGTGTAATGGTTGACTAACCAAGGTTAGGAGGTCTATGGCCCTAGGTATCTCCAAAACCCTTACCCCCAGGCATGTGGCATAACTATTGAGGGTTTCTAGAAAGTCATCCCTTGTTGAGGTCGGAGAGATGCCCAAGGATGTTTTTGAGGCTAGGAGAGCTCCGTGGTCTCCTATGTGTGGATGTAGACTTCTGATAGCAAGGTTTAAATCCTCAACAAACTTCCCCAAAGAAACTTCCCCATGGCATGTACACATAACAGCCACATTACCGGGAACCAACCTTGAAATGGGATACGTGTACATATGCATAGAGAGAGTTCCCTTGCACTATAGTGATATGTGCATGCGACTTGCTCTTAAGAGGTGAAACCTATAACCCACATTTCAGGACCATCACTCCACTATTTATTGGCCGGCTATAACGAGTCAATCATCAGCCCTTGCATGACACTATGGGTCATGGGTCTTGTTCAATCGGTTTGAGAAGATAGTAGAGAATCACGGTAACTAGAGCAGTTGGAGTGCCCTGACAGTCACCTACCTTGACCCACTAGTACCAATCCACTTCTAGATATTTTATTTCAATGTAAGAAATATTCTTATGTATTATATAATTTTTCAAAATTTTTAAAATTAATTTCAGCAATGAACACCCTTAACAGGGGGCAGTTCAAAGATTTTAGAACTGTGGAGGGGTGGAGTGGCACACGTGGATGCCCATGGATCCAGCCCACACGTGTGCCAACAGCCACATGAGTGGAATGTGGAACCCATGGGGCCTACACCTCACACATGAGGTCGTACATCCCTCTCCTCTTTATTTCTTCTAAGAAATTAAAAAAGTGTTTTATTAAGTTAGTTAAGATAATCTTTTGAGAAAGATTATGCCCTTATTTATGGGAGTTGTAAATATTTTGTTTTTGATGCAATCTTTTATCTTTTGACTTCCTACAATTTCATGAGATATAAAGGATCTGGAATATCTTCAAATTGGTCTTGTCCTAATTTGACAAGAAGTGGATATGGGTAAAAGATTCATACGATAAGGTAACTAATATTGCTCCCTAAATCATGATGGCTAAATTCATGGGATGAATGACTCATTTAAGTCTCTCACCTCATAGATTTTCTAAATTCCTATTGGTCATGTAAGTCACAACTGGATAAGTGTACCTAGGAGCCCCTGAAGCCTATATAAGGAGAGGAAATCCCCCACTCCATACACAATTCCCTAGCCTCTCCCTCTCTCGACTCTCTCCACACCCCAATCTATCTCATCTCTCTAGCTTTTTCTCTCTCCCTTCTCTCTCTAGGTGGCAAGCCAACCCCATAAGGCTCAAGGGGTGGCACACACCACCCTAGCTACAGTATAAAGAGGGAGCACACCCAGCCCTAGAAAATAGGGAGGTGCCTTATGGCATGCCCTAGGTGCTCTAAAAGGGCTATAGAAAGCCTTAAGTGTTATGCTCGCATATTAAACCCTAGTTTGTGCGGTACTGCCTAAGGAAACTTTTTGACTCAGAAAATTCGGCCAATAGGATCATAATGCGTCATCGGTCAGGAAATCAGATGTGGGGTGTATTAAGTCCAATAGGGGTAACCCAAAGCAAATTTGATTAAATCTTCCCGGCTGTTGCTTTTATTTTTCAGTCATTTTTTTGCTTCTTTATTTGAATTTTCAGGAATATTATTTGTCTTAAAATTGTTAGTGGAAGGTTCTTTTTCATTCTCTGATTATGTCTATATTCAATTTGGATTAAAATTAAAGATCCTAGGTTGTCATTAGGCTTTGTTTCTTATTTACAGTGTATCTTGTGGCGCTTGTAAGTTAAATTCAGATTCAATAATAAAAGAAAGAGAGAATTTTTATTTTACTGCCTTGAATTCCACATTGCCACTTCTTTCAATCGCCACAGATCCAGATTCCTTAAAGTTAAGAATCATGATTCCACTTTTTTTTTTAATCTCGTTCTGATGTCTTTAGAATTTAGATCCACCTCACCAAATTTCACAATGGTTTGTATAGAGCCTAGGCTCTAAACAATCAAATTAGAGCCTACCTTCAAATAGTGTCGAGAAATCTGGTTTTACGACTAGAAATCTTTGTGATAGCCTTAAAATATATTTTCATATTTATTTATAAAGTTCAAAGCTTCAAAAATAGTGTAGATCGATAGATCTATGAAAACTTGAAAATTGACAGTCTAAAAATGGGTTACAAAATACACTATTTCCAAAATTTGAAATCCATTTTTTCTCATGTCCATGCAACTTGATGTCGAGATGATCAATTTGAAGATATTTGGGTATCAAAACAACCTCTTCCAGTGAACTTTTTGAGGTAGGCTCAAATTTTATTGTTTAGAGCCTTGGCTCTATATAAACTTTTCCCTTCAATCAATATGAGATTTCCCTTCCAATTTTTAGAAATAGCTTGGATTTTTTTAAACGTTATTTGAAAAAATTTGTTATTTAGAATTTATTATAATTAATATAGGATGGGTATCGAAAAACACTATGGGTGTTGAAAAAGTCTAGTTTACATCATTCCTAAATTTCATGAATATGCATAAAATTTCTTACTTTATAATAACATAGTACTAAGGTTGACACGTTCAAAAAAAATATTAATAGTAAAGTAATTTTATTTTATTTATTCAATCAAGAAACTCTAGGAAAGTATTTAGTTAAGGTTACTCGACCTTGTTTCCAGTACTTGTTAGAACTGTGATAAATGGTATTAAATACATTAACTCCATTACTAGGGGAGAGTTGCCAAAGGCAACGATTCCAATAATAGATGAGCTCTAGGTAAGTACACTCATTACATGGGGTAGAGGAGTGGCTATGTGGAACTCAAGGTATTAAATTAAAAAAAAAAAATCTCTTATTAATATACCTGAATTCCACTTCCATAGGCCACAATACACTACTATAAATCAAAAATAAAAAACATCTAGGAGTAATGAACAATCTTCTGCTATGGTTTTGAGTGCATTATATGTTCCTGAAAATTCATAAAAAAATATATAAAATATGACTGAATATTAATTAAATCTACCGGGAAGACTTTATAGAATATGCCTGGAGTTAGCCCCTCATAGGGCTTGATATACCCCAGACTCGATTCCCTGCTTGATGGCTCACTTTTGTCCCTTTTGATCTTGCTAGAATTTTTGTGATGGGAAGCCCTCACAGGCAACATCTCTTACTCTAGGGTTTTAGAGTGGACGGAAACCTAACTAGGGTTTGAAGGAATCCTTAGGAACAAATTAGGGCTAAACAGCATAGAATCATCTAATGGCTGGGCATACCCCTTCTACTTCTCCAAAAAACAAAACCCTAATTAGGGTTTCAATGTGCCACCCTTGTCTTATCAAATTTTGGGTGCCATGACCCTTTTTGGATGGGGGAGGGGGAGAGAAAAACGAAATTGTTTTTAATGAAAGCAAGAGAGCGAGAAAGATTTGGTGCATGGAGGAGCAAGGTATAAGTGTGGTGACAGAG